CACATACAAAACAGTCACTCCAGGGCTACAGGTCCTCACACTGCACAACTGCTCAGCAGAGAAGCCACAGCTAAATCTACTGCCAAGCACAACTTACAGTAAGCTGGGCCATATGGGAACTGAGACTGGGGCTCTGTTCCTACTCCTGGCAAGGGAGGAGGAGGAAAATATCACCCACTCTTTCTCCTGAAATAGGTACAGAGCACTACTCAGCTTTTGAGCTCATCACATAGGTGCATCCTACTGCTCAGCTTTTGAGTTCATCACAACCAACGTGCATTGCATGAATGTCCAAGAGCTGTGTCTGGATTGCAGCAGCTTTCCTACAAATGGAAAGCTGGAAACTTGTTCTCCTGAGACATACTTGGTTTTATAAATATAGCCCAAGTATCTCCCAAATCATACATTCAGCTGATCTGAGCTCCAATTAGGAAAAAGAACTTCTGCTGTCTTCTTCCTCATGATATTCTCCTGGACTGCTTAGGACCTGGTACAGGACATACCCACGTGCACAGTATTAGTGTAATTTGTGTTTTCAGCAAATTAACCATTAGCAACTGCCAGAGCTTACAGTGGTGGAAGGAGTCACTCACTTTGAATTACTTCAGTACTCCCACACACTTCTCTGTTTGAAAGCCTCTGTACTATTGCAATCATGGAACTAAGCATGTTCTCTCACTTCACACATAAAGCCTTCTCTAGTCAATGATAAATCCAGTAGAAACATTTTACAACTCTTTTTCAGTCTTCTGGGTAGGAACACACTGCACAGCTAGCTCCAGCAAATCAATTCTCCTTCCTTTCTCCTTCACAAGTAGGAACATATTGAATATGTGGAATTGGAGATGCTCAAGAGTGTGCTCATTTTTTTCACCCATCCTGGATGTCTCCAGCTGAAACAATCCTAAAATAAGATAATCCTGTTTGCCCAACTAATTGTTTACCAGACTTCTAACAGTACACATCTGCCTTTGCTGTTAGAGCATGACAGCATAGTAACAAGTGCAACAGCTGGTTTTATTCTATATTTTTTACACTCACAGTTAAATATTAAACAAACAGCTGTATAGAGCAGAAAATTTTAAAGAGCAGCTAGAAGGAGGAAAGGGGAATTCAAAAAGCAGTAAGACTACTCCATTACAAACAGACTTTTTACCACAAGGAAGGAGTTTCTCATGTCCCTCTGCTCACGGGCCAGCTCTAGAAGACCCTTGCAGCAGAGGTGGCTGTGCTTCTCCTCAGCAGAGTTTTATTTTTACAGTTCCACTTCAGGAATTAAGGCCTAAATCCTCGCACACAAAAGTCCGATAGCTCTCCTGCCTCAAAACACAAGGTGAAGTGTTTCTGCACAGCACTTAAGAGGGTTTTTCCCCCTCCACAGGCAAAGAGAAGAGACCTGGCATTATATATATGCATAAAAGTTTCAACTAGATGATTTTGTCAGCATGTAAGTATCCTTATTTTCATTTTACCGATCAGTTGCACAGAAGAGAAGTCACTTGCCCATCTCAAAGAAGCTCTGCTCCAGAGGCCTGAGTTGTACTTTCTTTATCTTGTATACAGCTGCCTGTGAGTACTCCCATAGGACTTGCTGTACCCCTCCCCTCATGCAAGCATCCCTGTATCTCAAGGAGTAAGGAAGATTATGTGGATGAAGAACATCCTCTGAGATCAGGCAAGCACAACACTTTTCAGAAAGCAGGAAGTCTTTAAAGCACCAAACATGAGTAATAGTCTTGCTCCTTCCTTTCCCTCATCCATCATTCAAGCACTGCTCTATTCAGCTACATTTTCAGATGTGCCTGGGCAGCCATAAAACGTGAGCAATCAGAACACTTACAGAGGCTGGTTACAAGCCAGCCTCACGCCCTGTCCTTGGCCCCAAGTTTTCCCTTGCTCTGTAGGTCTGCCCTCACGAGAGAGAGCAGGAGAGAGGGGAAAACACCAGAATTCACAGCATCACAAAAAGAAACATCTGTCTTCAGAGACAGACCACTCCAGACCTGACTTTGCTTCAGCGGGAAAGCAATTAAACTCACCCACTGCAGCCCTTCCACATGGAAAATGCTCTTTTTATTCAATTAACTTTCCTGTAACTAAGGTTAATAGTCCATGTGGTATCTGCCTCGAGGTTTCAGAGGCTTCTGGCTGAACTGCCATCAGCACAGAGACAGGAAGAGACTGAAAAGACCAGAAAGAGCAGAGAGCTCACAAGTGGCAGGCAACTGGCAAACACTGGCTAATGCTGCACTCACTAGGAGTTCGAGGCTAAAGACTGCAGTGAAAGGCAAGGACTACCACACTAAATTTTTGCAGGACTTGCATTCCTTCAGAAGACCCAAAACTACCCAGAGGACAGCACGTCCCTAAATATCTTCCCAACTCTTGCATAAGAAAACCCTGCCCACAAGTGCTCAGTTCCACATTAAAGTCAAGATTTCCACTAGCAAGCTTCTAAATCTTGAGCAATCCTCAACTGCAAGAAAATGCAGGACCACCAGGACAGCTCAACCTTTGCCTCTGACCAAGCCAGCAAGAAGAGACCTCGTCATGTTTGCCTCCCATCAGTTCAGGGCTGCAGCTGGGGAAGGGGCTACACACACCCTCAGCCAACTACCCAATTAGATCAGACACTTTCTTGCAGGCTTCCACTGGTTCAGCTCAGGAAGGGCACCTGTAGAGCTCTAGAGCAATCATAGAATGGTTTGAGTTGGAAGATCATCTTTAAAGATCATCTAATCCAAACACCCTGCCACAGGGTCTTGCTGCATCTTCCCCAGGTCTGGTTGCTCAAAGCCCCATCCAACCTGACCGTGAATGCTCCCAGTGATGTGTATCCACAACTTCTCTGGGCAATCTGTTCCAGTGTCTCACCATAAAAAAACTTCTTCCCTGTGTCTGACCCAATTCTACACTCTTTCAGTTTAAAACTGTTGCCCCTTGTCATGTTACTACAGAACACTGTAGAAAGCTTCTCTTTATCATTTTTATAAGCTCGTTTTATATATTGAAAGGCCACAATAAGGTCTCCCTGGAGCCTTCTCTTCTCTAGGATCTTCTCTATCCTCAGAACCTGTTCTGGGCACCCCTCATCAGAAAGCTTCCTCTGACAGTCCATCTGCATTTAAATGGGTTTTGTTGTCCAGATTATTTTTCATAGCAAGAACTGGTTGCACGGTCCTCTAAGCATATTCATAGCAGTGTTTGGTGAGTTCCACATTAAAAAAAATATTAACCCTCAAACCTGAATTTTCCCTTCTTAGATATGCTCTTGACCATATCTCTGGAGAGATTTCATGTTCCAGCATACAGGAACATGGAGACGAGTCCACTAAAGTTTCTGTTTAAATGAAGTAGTGTGTACTGAGTGGCTCTTCACAGCCACAGGAACAGCCCAGTGTCCAAAAGTAGCCCAGAAGTTGCCTTTAGATACCTGCAAACACCACTGAGCAGCTGTATGCTTCCTCCCTGCCTCCTTCCACTCTGCTTTCACCCTAGTTCTCCAGGAGAGAAAAATTCTTTGTAGAAGATGTCCAGCAAAACCACACGACTTCAAAGAGCACATTAAATTGTAGGAACTAGATTTATTTTAACTTAAGTTGATATTCACGTTGTCTCTGCTAACAAGCCCCAGACAGCATTCAGTCCTGTCAACAGGCCTTCATTGTAATACCCCGTAACACCTGAAGAAGCCTAACTTACACCACAACCAGCTTCTAAAGGGAGGCTCAAACCCAAAGTGTGCTTTTGACTTTCTGGGATCATTGGTGACACCCAACAGTTAAGTAATGCTGGGCTCAGTTGCATCATAGCCCAAACACCCAACTGCTGCCCCATAAATACCAGGTGCATTTTATTATATAGTAACATGCATAATAAAAGAAAGACAAGTCTTTAAAAGTCTGGATCTTTTGAAACTTCTCAGTAAAGCAAGGGATGATTAACACCACCTCCCCCTACTCTCCCACCCAACATCCTCTCTACCACCTCCATTCATATTGAAGCTTTAGTAATATAGTGTGGAAAAAAGCAATGTTTTCCATCTTCTCTTGTCCTGCACAACTGAGGACAGGAGGGAAGATTCATCTTCTTGGTTCACCATCTTTTGGTACATCAGAACATCTTACTCAGCAATTAATGCCCAATCCAAACAACAGGGGCAGAGTTTCCAAGGTACCACTCAGCTACTTGAGATAAACACGGCATTAAAAAGGGAGGAGGGGGGAACCCGCAGTAACTAGGCATACATAAATGACAGGTTTCCTTCCACCATCAAACAGCCATGGCCCTGGCCATGCTGCCGTGCAGCCTCCTCACCTGCACAGCCCTGCCTCACCTCCCAGGTTACCAGGGGACAGCACCCTGATCCTACAAAAACACACAGCACGAAAAACGGTATTTAAGAAGATTTATTAAGTGCGCACATACACACACTTTTTTTTGGTGGTTTGGGTTTTTTCTGGGTTTTCTGGGGGTTTTCTGGTTTTTTGTTTTGGTTTTGGTTTATTATGGGGGTTTTTGGGGGGGTTGGTGTTTTTTTCATATAGTACTAATCTCCTCATAATTCTCTTCTAGACTTCAAACCCATTTTGCTGTTAGAAGCGCTGGATACCAAAAGCCCCTTCGGGAGAGGGCACCAAACCACCCGCCCACCCCCTGCCTTCTGGGACGCCGCCACCCTCCCACCTCGCAGCTGCGGAGCGCCCCGACCGCGCCAGGGAAGCGCCGGGAACGGCAAAGGGAGCCCGCAGGTGCACTGCGGTCCCGACCCTCGCGGCGGCGGGAGGATGCGGGCAGGACAGAGGGAGAGCCCGGCCCGCTCCCGCACAGTGGCGGAGCCGCAGCGGCGCCGGCAGCTCCCCGGCAGCTCCCCGGCACACGCACGCACACACACACACACTCACACACATACACACACCCCCACACACCCCCAGGAGGGCGAGGGGCACACTGTGCATTCCCCCGCCACGGGGACCCGGCGCTCCCGAGGTCGCTCCTACCTGCCCGGGCTCGCTGCGGTAGGCGAAGGCATAGACTCGCTCCGCGCTGATGTTCACGGCGCCCCGGTAGACGCGGCCGAAGGCGGCGGGAGCGGGGCTGCCCCCGGGGCCGCCCCCCGCTGCCGCCGCCGCCCAGAGCAGGGCGCAGAGCAGAGCCCCGGGGGCCGGGGCCGCGCTCCCGGCCATGGGCTCGGTCCCGCCGGCCCCGCGGGGCGTCCGGACTGCGTGTTCCCGGCAGGGCGGGCGGCGAGGCGCTTTATTTGCGATTTAAATAAATAGCTCGGCGACGCGGATGGGAGGCGGGTGTCAGCCCCGCACACCCCCGCCCTTCGCCCGGGGGGCGCCGAGCAACTTTACCCGGGAAGGACCCTCCGCCGGCCGGCCGGCGGGGCGGGGAGGGGAGGGGAAGGGAGGCCGGTCGGCGGGCTGGCCAGCCCAGGGGAGGAGGGTCTCCTCTCTGTGCCCGGCCCCAAATTCTGAGCCGGTCTTGGCAGACGGTTGTAAGCGAGGTTTTCTCCTCGAGGAGCGGTGCCGTGAGCTCAGGGACACGCCGGCATCGTCAGGCACGTGAGGATCAGCATCCACAGGGCTTCGACACTCCCGGCCCACCGAGTCAGGGGCGTCCTCACCTCGTGCTCTGCCGGCTTGCTGGACCGGCAGCTTGCACCTGCGATCTTCCATAGGGCCCTCCCCAACCTTTATTTTTGGCTGCTCATAACTTTGGGATAAGTTCGTCTTTTAGTTCAGTCTAAAGGTGTGAAAGGCAAAATGTCATTTTGTTAATTTCAGCATGGCTCGGTGCATAAATAGATCCTTTGAGTTGTTCGTGAAATTGGCTACAAACAATACTGTGATGGTCTTAACCTTTTCAAAAATACGAGAGCGATACAGTTGGGCTGTGAAAAGACAAGAGATCTCTCATGGTTTAACTCTCCTATGTTTTTATGTTGAAGACACGCCTGGGAAATGTGTCAGATTCCATGGTGTAAGGATGCACTTTTAAGTCAGAGAAGATAGAGCATCACTAGAAAGCAACCAGAGAGGTTTTTCAGAATGAGGATGAACTTTTAGGAGCCACAGTTTTATAAAGTCAGCCTGCAGTTTCCAACTGCAGTGACTCTGGCCACAGAAAGTTTCCAAATTGTGGGGTTCATTTTCAAGGCTGAGAGATTTCCTGAGGGGTCACTCGTTGTCTTTGGAGGAAAAGTTGCAAAGCTCAGCAAAAGAAGCATTATGCTGCTGTTTTGATCTTCGGACCTTTGTGTGATATCTGCCAAGAGGAAAAAAACCCAGTTGTCAGTGATTGCTGTGTTCTGTGTTCTGTCTTGAAGCAAGGTGCTGTTTAAGTCACCTTGCCTTTTGTCAGTCCCAAGAAGTGTCATTAAGGATGAAAAACCTCAAAACATTAGGGATTTGCTGGAAGATGGACACTCCAACACCAAGATTTTGCCTGTCAGCCTGGAATATCATGGTCTGCAGACCAAGAGACCTTGTGACTCTATCTTGCCTCTTAATGGGACATGGTGTAACTTGTCCTGGGAGACTTCAAGTAGTGGTGGCACTGAGAGACTTGTGGCTTCCCTTCACCACTCCATAGAGCCCAGGGCTCCTGAATCCTACAGCTCTTTTCTCACCCACTGCCCTCTTTAGACCCACAGTGCTGGAGGGAGGAGACTGGGAAACACGCCTTCTCCCAGAGAGGAGAAGCTTCAGGCAAACAGGAAGAGGTATGGTAAAGCAAAAGCATGTCAGGGCAATGTGACCGAAGGCACAAAGATGGTGTTCTGCAAACCATGGTAGGTGTGGCAGCTGCAAATAATTTTTGTCTCATTTGGTGCTGTGCATATTTCAGATTGGGAGATCAGTGCACTGTTCCTCCCTAGTTGTTGTCTTTATGACAAAGAAGTGGCTCTTCATATAGTCCACACTTTCCAATGCAGAATTATGGATTTCTTAAAGTACTTTCCCTGAGTGGATGTACATTATGGTATCTTACCAAAGGCTACACATTTTCCCTGATTTTTAATTTGAGAATTCAAGTTTTCTAAGTATAATCCTTTGTTCTTATCTTAATTTCATCTCACTATTTTGAGGCTCTTTCTGTGGTTTAACAATATTAAACCTTTGTTCCAGTCTTTACTTCTGAAGTGTGGAACTGCCCAACTTGGTGTTATTTGCAAAGTTTGAAGTCAAAAGTCAACTCCACCATTCAAGTCACTAATGAAAGTAATCAATCCTAGCAGACAGATCAGGTCTCTTGATTTGATATATCTTCCTACTGATACAAAAACATCCACTGCACCAGTTTGGGAATTGCTCTTTAATCATACACTCCTCTCATGCTAATAACCATTTGAGACCGATTTGCCTTTATAAGAATGGTGTTCAAGGCAATGTCAAAAGCCCTACTGAAGTGAAAATATGTTTCATCTATTCCTTTCAGCACTCACTAAGTCAGTTATCTTGGCAAAAAAATAAATTAGGTTAGTTTGACATGATTTGTTATGGACAAATGCACAGTGCCTGCTTTTCATCACTTGGTTGCTTGCACACTGATTGCCGAACAGCTTGTTTCATTATCTTTCCAGCTAACAAACGGAGGTTGGCTACCTTATAACACTTGACTCAGACCCTTTGATAAAGATAAGTATCCCATTTTCCCTTTTGATTACACCTGGATCTTGTTCTTGAAGGACAAGAAGGAGGAGGAAAGAATTAGTCCCTGTAAGAGACAGTATGCTGATCCAGATAGACTATGGGTCTGGGTCAGTGGAAGTGGTTTGGTATTCTTCTGTGTGCTACAAGTCTCTGGCATCAGGAGCCAGCAGGGGCTGGATGCTCCCTGAAGAACAGGGAGTGCCATAACACAGCCAGCAGAGCAGGGACCTCACTGGCCAGGGCTCCATCCCACAGGATCTGAACAAGGCAAGCAGGGCAGGCCTGGAGGTGGCAGCTGGAACCAAGAGAGAATCCAGATTGGTGGACAAGTCCATGGCAATGGGATAGGTCTGAGGTCAAGATGGGAACATAAATTAGTGAGTCAGGTCTGGTGACAGCAATCGGGGACAGACACAGTCCTGTCATCAGCAGGCAAGTCCCTATAACAGTGAGGGCTGGCCAGGAAGCTGTTCAGCAGGTCCTGGGTCAGTGGGATACAGACATGGCTGTAGCTGTAGCTCAAACACAGCCAAGCACTGGAGCCTCACCTGAAATGCAGCTCCCCTGGGAGGGGGAGGTCTGACCATGCTGAAGTCTCCCTGCAGACTTGCCTTCAGGGTCACCAAAGGGAAGGGGGGCAGCCCTCAGCTGTGCTATCTCTAGGTTGGCTGCAAACCCAGGGTGCCAGACCTCCAGGAAGGGGGATGATGTTCTTGAGGCCCTTGCCTCTGGCTGTGTGGAGGGCATATATGTCTTAACAGGACCTGTTTTTCCAGTATAAACAAAGCCCTGGGTTGTGAGTGTCTCAGGGGAAGGAGGAACTGTGCTGAACCACAGGCTCACAAGAGTGTGGTTTTGGGTTGTTGTGGGTTTGGGTTTTTTTCCTCTACAGCACAAAGAAAATCTCATTGCTAGTGGGGAAAAAAAAATACATAAAGAAATTACATTTCTCCTAGCAACTAGGGCTGCAAAAACATCCAGGATAAAGGAAAAATCTTAATTACAAAGGAATTCCCCAAATCATACTAGCTTAGAAGGGGAAAGAGTATAAATGTATAACAGACCACATTGTTTGGAAACCTGATGATTTTAAATCACTGCTGTTTGCATATGTAGTCTCTGTCTTATGTAAGCTCCTCTGTGAGTTAATAGATGCTGTAGATGCTCAGCTGCCTTCTGCAGAGATAATGTCACATTTTCAGACTGCTGTAAATGCAGTGTGAAGAGCAACAAGAAGTGAAAGGTAGACAGGCTTTAAAGACATCTGATAGAACCTACTCTCACTTTTCTCATATGTGGCTAAAGTATTTGAAAACAGGCTGTTTGTATGAGAAGTGTCTCTGGCTTCTACTATATTTGCTTGCATTAGGTATATAACATTTATATTTGTTTGTAATTAATAATAGCAGAGAGGTTGAAGAGGTTTCAAAGTGGATAATGTATTGATCCAATTATGCCTTTATTTCTTTCTTCTTCGGTAGACCTTGTTCTTCCAGACAATTCGAAGCCATGTTAGGAGATACTTTCAGATGTGCCCTTGATTTATACTTTTGGGTTCCAAATTTCCAAATAAATGGAGATTAATGAATCCAGTGCATTGCCTTGCATGAACTTCTCTTCCCATAGGCTGACCTCCAATGTTCGCTTTCAGGTTGTGTGTGGTATCTATGTTGAGTGCCAAGATGGAAACTGAATCCTGGATACAACCTCCACATTTTCAGCACTTCATCAGAGGCAATTGATGGTAGTATTACTCTATCACATTTTTCTCCCCTCATGATTTCAGTGTTCTTTTCGTATCACATGCAACACGCTTCCTTCCCTCAATACATGAACCATTACCACCTGCACCTTCACGTGAATCTTTTTACAGTGATGTTGGACAAAGCCAGAATTACACTGATGAGGAACTTAAGCAACAGGAAATCTTGGTAAAAGAGAATTTTTCTTTTTAAGAAAGGAAAAAGTTTTGAATGAAAGTCTGATAAACACTCTGCTTTCACTTTCCAGCTCCTACAGACAAAATATTATGCTCCTTCTCTAACATAAAATGTTAATTTTAACCTTTCAGAGTAATTTACATAATGTCTTCACCTATGTGTCAGGGAAGTGGAGGATCTGTGGAGTAAGTCTATAGAGAATATATTGCACCTATGTGCAAGTTAAATTACTTGTTTCAGAACTTCCAGTTGCCTTGTGGAAACCAGAAATTCCTCGTGGGTAGGGACATACACACCTCCCCAGTGGCACAGCTAACGAAATCTGTGTTAAATTGAAACAAGGGTCACTCTTTGATATTGCCTTGATTTCATAGTTTAAGTTGTGCTCTGAATCACTCATAATAGGATCTGAAAGTCATTTAATTCCCAAGGCTTCCTCAGAGGGACACTGAGAGATGGCTTGGGAGGGCAATTTGCAGAGAGGAGTGATATTAATGAGATGAGCAAGTGCAAAAATTAAGGCGAGGAGAGATGGAAGACACGTGCAGTGACAATGCCAGGAGCAGCTCACGTGCATCTCCCTGCGGAGCTGGCTGGAGCTGCCAAGGCACTGCCCTATACTTCGAGAGGGCGGGGGGGACACCCGTGTGCACCCTGAGGGAGGGCGGGGGCAGAGGCTGCTTCCTCACAGAAAGCCCGAGAACAGAGGGAGCCGCGGGCACGGGCACTGCCCCCCTCGCGTGGCGGGGCCGGCGGCGGGAGCGCGGCCCGAGGGGCGGAGGGGAGGCCGCGCTCCTCCCGAGGGGCGGGGAGAACGGGGAATAGAACGGGACCCGGCCGCGGCGCCGCTCCCGCCCCTTCCC